CAAAGACACATGACAATTGAGTGGACTGAGCTGACATCGAGACCTCTTCTGTTAATTGATACTATTACAAGACTGAAGAGGCAGGAGTTTTGTTTTGTCCGTAAATAGATACGTCAACAATAGAAAATTTCAAGCCAATTCGAAATAACCTGAACGTGTTTTTGTACATATTCAACGAAAATATTTGGCGTTTTAATAGAAGGCTTTCGTTAAAATCTAGAAGACGACTGACGCCTGCCCGTGATTGACACACTGACAAATTTTCTCATTACTTGAGTTAGAATATCGTATTTAAGCATTTCGTAATCATTTTTACAATATAGGGAACGGTGACTTATGTAGTTAAATTTTCTAATATCTAAATTCTTGTATCACAATGTTCGTTCCCATACTCCTCCGAAACGGCTCGACCGATTCTTATGATTTTTTTTTGCATTTGATGCAAAAAAAGCATACTCAATGCAAAAAAATGTTAGTGTGGGAATCGGCTACTATCTTTCAAACCCCTAAATGTTAAGGTTGGTCCACCCCTAAATTTTTATTTTTTATGATAAAGCATACAAAAATACATATAACCCTTAATTTTCACCCCTCTACGATCAACCCCAATTTTTTATTTGTTAATTAACATCTCTGAGTGTTCATTCAAGAAAACTGAACAGTCTCTAGGGTAGCATAGCAAAATGATAGTAAAATCACATTAAGGAGAAACGAAGTTCGCGGGGGCATCTAGTTAATTATAAAGTTAAAACTGCCGCTTTAAACTAATAACTTTAATGAGTCTGAAGTGAGATAAAGATACTTCAATGCGGACTTTTACTAGCGTATATTACATAGGGTGCTAATGTCAATGGCCGAGGCAAAAGCGTCTCAAAAGCATACGTGTGACCACAAAAGACATGTTATTGGTAAAGCAGGGTGCATACAATGCGTTTATTAGAGCAAGTGAGCTGTGGGTATCTCAATGGGCTGCTGTGATGTCACAACGGACGTGCGAACAATGACCGTGCGACAATTAACTCTCACTATAGCGTCAACTGCATCAATGCATCTCTTGCGTGTTTACGCCTCGTCCCACATAATATTCTAGCAATTTAAACGATTATGTAAATTTAGTCGCGTTATTCTTGTACTAAAACCACTTTTAATGTCTTAAGAGGATACTATTAAAAGTCCGTTCCTGAAAATTACATTTCGTCAATTAACATGAAGAGAATTTAAGCAAAGGAAAAAGCCATTATGGGCTTAGGGAGCGTTCAAGTATTTTAGGGGGGTCCTTTTGTAAAACGTTACGATGCGGGGCGGGGAATGAATCACGCGTTATTGTTAATATTCTTTTCGACTTTCCAGTACTTTACACCACATAATGGTAACTTTTAGGTATAAAGAGTCACTGGGTGGTCACGAAACGTTTTACTATTGGGTACAGAAAAACTTTACGGCGCGTTACATGAGGGGGGGTCAATAATCTCTAATAAAATAGCGTGACGTAATACTTGAACGCTCCCTTATCAAAAATGTGATAGTAAAAACCTTATTCTGCATAGATTGATACATGCGGTCACGGGTGGTCGGCCGTCGAACCGGTCATTTTGCAACGACGAGCCAGCCATTTGCGACACTTCCCATGTCGATACAATCTACCATCCACACGCTATTCACTGTGCTCTCTTGAATTTCGTAAAACATAGTGTTTTAATGAATTATAACAGTGAACTACGAAACAAGTAGTAATCACCATATAAATCAAAACAAAGAAACCACAACCAAAATACATCTTTCATATCACAAAGACAATAGTTAGACAGCTGGATAAAGCTGTGGGCGTCGACATCAACATAAATCAGCTGCAATAGCGCCTGCGCAGACAGCTATCGGCTTGATCACACGAAGGAGAAAGTGCACTCGTTCTCATTGAATATACCTATTACTCAAGCTGTGTAATTGGTTCTACATACCTTAGCAACAAAGGTAATTTTCATCGCTAAACTTGTTCCGTTGCAAATTGAACTATCATTAAATTACTATTACTTACAATCCAAATAGGATTTTAAGTAATAGTGCGACATTATGATGTAACTAATTAATGATTCGTTGATTTCTCACGTCGTGTATAATAGCTCATTACCGCAGATAACTTAAGTGTTATCTCGGAGTGCCTTATCGTTTGAAAACTTATCTGTAACAGCGTGACAGTTACGAAGCAGATATAATAACGATAAGGTAAATTTTGATAAAATTTCGAACTAAACCTTTAAAAGCCTAGATTCCCATATGTATTATCTACTAACCTAAATAATAAATAGTATTCGACTTGAAGGATTTTGAACGTTAATAATTGTTATAAGTTAAATATTCGTATATTTAATAGACAAAAAAGAGGTTCAAAGAAAGTTTTAGTAAATATAATTATTACAAAGCGCTACCTTAAGCAAAAAGGTGAAAAGTCAATTAGTCACGGCATAGGTAGATCATTGACAACACAACACCTTGACACAATCAGTCATCGATGACAAAAGAATATTATTTATGTTAAAACAAAGTTAGTTCTGTATACCAAAATACTCGAATGTAAAAATGTCATCAATGAATGAGTAGTATCAAGGGAAAGCCAGCCCTGAACAATGATCTTACCTGCCAAGAAGCCGCGTCTGTCATGCAATCGCGCCACAGTCGCAGCCACTGGGCCATCGGGCTCGCCTTGAGGAAAGTTTATGTTATTGCATACATGCTAAGACCAATTCATAGGGACATAGGTAGAGACAGGTAGGTTAGGCTAATTTTTAGTTAATGAATCAATCGTTCACTTAGGTGCATGCAACAGATATTACAATAAAATTTAATACATTAAAATTTATAATCTATGAATCATCTACAAAAAAAACGTGTGTGTTACTTATGTACATGCGTTAGAAGTTATACTTCTTTGACGTAACTAGATAAAAATATTTAAAAAAAAAATAACTTTCGCCTTATTCTACGATAAAACGTTACGGCGCGTTACATGGGGGGGTCAATAATCTTCAAAAATTGCGTGACGTAATACTTGAACGCTCCCTTAATAGAATAAACGACAATAGAAAAAATTACTCTCATAATTTTTTCCTAACGCGCCTTCAAAAATTTTAGGATTTAGCATACAAGTTGAAATGAACAACTCGTGTTCTAGTTAACAAATTATATATATAAATGAGTTGTTATAGTAATCAACCACTGCTTAGTTATTTAGATAATCAAAAGATGACACATTTGATTATCTAAAACAAGGTTTATTCAACAAATTGCTCGGACTGATTGGGTATATATTTCAAATCAATTGATTGGTACTCAATATTTATCAATAGAATATTAGTACTGACATATGGTTCAAGTACACTACACAAGGCCAACGTAGGTGCGCCCGTATCCTATGTATTAATAAGTATTGATGTTATTTTATCAAACAACCAACTCTTTGTCACTTTGATAACGAAGTTTAACAATTGAAATTTAATAACCACGCCCGTTGTTAAAAAAAATAACGTAAAAGTACTTGATTGTAATTAATAGCGACCTCGAAATTACATGTTCATGTTTAACATGATGAAGTTTACAATAGTTCATAGGAGTTTGTTATAGCATGACGTCAGTGCGTGAATCACGGCTGGATACAGGAATTATTATTTTTATTATACTTAAATAAAAACATTTAGCTTTTTCCGAGGATATAAGCAGATATATTTATTGTTTTTACTGGTAATTTTAAGATAATTATTGTTGTTTTTCAACAAATCCATAAGTGTATATATTTTTAATTTGGTTCATTTCAGAAACTGGTTTGAATTGATAAATATTTGATTGGCTAGTCAATGACTACATACCATCTTTGAACATGATAATATTAAACAACAGCAGGTGTTAGTTAATTAGTTTGGCTTAATTTCCATTACACAATGGAATTTAACATTGGCGATTGTTCAGTGTGAATATTACTTTGTTAAGTACAAAGATATATTTATAATTTTATTACTTAAAAAATATAAGATTAAAATGAAATATTTGTTACTATTTGACTAATTTTACCAGATATGTTCATATAAATTTTAGGTGTAAAAGCAAATGGGAACAAAGTTAGCATGTGGCATCAACAACAAAAAAGGTCAACTTTTACATGAACTACTGTGGCATGAATTTACCGCAGCAATGTGCCCATTTTTCTAAAAGTACTGAGATCAATGATTCTTTTGAACTAACTTAACTTACAGTTAGCTTATCAATTAAACATATTTTTTAGCAGTTATTTAACACTTTTAAAGATTGCTGTAGGCACTAGGGCAGTACTTCAGCAATCAAACATACTATGCTGAATAGTTTTTTTTTTAATAACTATATATTTCATGACATTCCAAAAAATTATATGATTAAATTGCAATTGTTTGTTGAGATAAATATAAGCTACATTGCTTTTACTTTCACTATGTGATGAAGCATCATTATGAAACAATTTGTGTCAGAAACCTCTTTTTATCTATTGTTAAAATATACTAACATTGCATGATGAGAAAATTCTTTATAACATTCATACCAAGCAATAATGTAATGTCATACGTCATATCTAGTCAAATTTAAAAAAGCCAATTTAAAATAAATTTTCCTGAACATAGCTGTCCCACTGTTATAACTGATAAGAACATATAGGTACATCTGATAATTCTTATGATTTCATATTTTTAACACTGCTTGGCTTACATGTCCTTGTTGGGAACATGTTAAATAGTACTTATATACTGATTGTGTTAATTTAGTCATAAATTTTCTGTTTCCATTTAAAACCTATTTGTGTTAAAAACAAATTACATAACCAGCTAACATTATTAAGGAAATATTTAATATGTTCATATAATATACTTTTCATGAAAGCTAATAAGGCACTTGTGATAAAGATATTAAGCCACTTGACAGATGCGCTGGGTCAAAGAAACTGTTAGTAGATAGTTTTACAATCAAAATTAATTACATACCTTTAATGAGTGGCTCGTTCACAATATTTACATCCTCCTGTGGGATCATGTCCATGAGTCGGGCAATATCAGTAGCTAACATGTGATCCACTACTTCCAAAAGTTTAGGCTTTAATGGATGGAATTTGGTAAAGTCATGATTTGCTAACAATTCCTGCATCTTTTTAATATCAGGAAAATCTCCTGGTGAAATTTGTTGTTCTTTTTGAATACGGTCATATACTTGCGCCAGATTCTTTATTAAATCCTTTTTTTTGCCATCTTTACCAAACATTGATGGCATTTCTTTTCTAAGTTCACTTACTATATATGCATGGACTTTAGCTAGACGTGCTCGTTTTATTAAATCATTTAACTTTCGTAATGCAGCATTTCTTGGAAGGGACTGCATATCTCTAAAAAGATCCTGCTCTTCATCTTCAAATAGCCGTCTATTTACATCATAGCGTAAAGGTTGGTCCCAGAATGAGCCAATGTACACTCTAGCCACTTCAGGAGTTTGAAGTACTTTACCTAATGACCACATCAGTGCTCCATATACACGCATTAACTGTTGATGGTCAATCATATCTGCTTTATTAAGAACAATGCGAATCTTATCATCGTGACCTCTTAATGCCTCTATACTTCTCCTAAATTCATCTGATATGTCTAGTTTGTGGGCGTCAAACAACAATATAATACGATCGACGCGCTCTGCAAACCACTCCAACACTCCGGTAAAGTCATATCCTCGGTCAACACGTTGCTTCTCCCCGGAGAGAATTCCAGGTGTGTCTAATATAGAAATACCACGAAGCACCGGTGACGCGACAGTAGAGCATTGAAATCTGTTTAAAAAAGCATTGCCAAATTTACTAAGTGGTCGGAACTGCTTTTTGGGGTCAACTACAAGTGCGTTTCCCGGAATAACTCCTTCTTTTTCATCAAACATAACAGCTATGAATCTATCTGTTGTGGGTTCCGGCCCGATACGAATGCCGGGGAAATCTCGCTCTAGGAGATATTTAATGAATGTGGTTTTTCCCGTCGAGTACTGCCCGACCAGCAGTATCATAGGCTTTGCATCAAAATCCGGTTCCTCTAGCTGAGGCGAATGAAAGTCGTGGAACTGATAGTGTAACTCGAGCGGTAAAAGTTTAGTTCTGTATATCCTTTTGAGACCTTCTACTACATTTTCAATACTTTCTGTCTTTTCACCTTCTTTTTTTAACCAGCTAAACATTTTGAGTTACAATATCAAAGCTTTTTTTTATTACTTTTCACTCACTACACCAACAGGAATAAATGTAAAACTACGCCGAGACCACTATGATCATTCTTTTCCACAAAAATGAACGATGAAAATGATTAGCCCGTGACGTCGCTCATTCTGAAGTTTGACAGATATGATAGTTTACAGTTTACACTTGACAGCACGATAGCACCGAGACCGTTAATTTATGTAGACTATTATTGTCAATAGACAGACGAATACCAATAATAACTACAGTGTATATACTAAAAGACTTATTGTCTGTACTCTGTAGACTAAGTCATAACATTATGTTATATCGTAGTCAGGCTTTGAATTTTGAAAATAACAAATTCGGACTGAAGTAATGAACATGGCACATGCTCGATGCAATGCATAGATTTATGATATAATAATTAGTACCTAAGTAAAATATATATTCAGAAACAATGACGGTATTCCATGATGAGGTTGAAATAGAAGATTTTGAATACGACGAAGACGAAGGGATGTATTATTACCCATGTCCCTGTGGCGACCAGTTTCAGATTAGTAAGGTTAGATTTTAAATTAAATATTCCTTGTGGTTTTCAATTTCTGTTTCAGTAATTATAATGTGACTATCCATAATTTCAGGAGGACTTGATGGCGGGGGAAGAAGTCGCAACATGTCCAAGTTGTTCACTAGTTGTAAAAGTTATATATGATTTGGTAAGCCTAACTTTAGTAAATATTATGCGGTAATGAAGTTAATCCATCATAGTACATCACTCTTAAAATATATATTTATGTTTGTTTAAAACAAGAAATTAATTTTCAGGAAAAAATCAAAGCAGAATCTGAAGAAATACAGAAAGAACCTGGTGATAAAGAAGCTGTGAAAGCTTAATAATAGAATCAATAAAGACCTATGAGGTCTGTGTAATACCTATGTTGTGAATGAGATGAGTCATATAATCTCTGGAGATGATTTCTGTGATAAGTTGTAATAAAATATGTTAAATATGAATATTTATTACTCATTGCCCACATTCTTAAAAGACATACATTATTTTTTGTAATTTGTCATTTATTTGTAAAGTAGGTGAAAGTTCTGATTTGCCCACTAAATATGTAAAAATGTTATATGATGTGAATAAAACACTATCAAATCTCATACATTAAGCCTTAAATTGTTTGCCATCTTTATTAGTTGCTTGGTATACATTTAGTTGTTAATCTTAGCTAATAACAACTTAAATTTGATGGACAAATCAGAAGTATAATAATTATAAATGATCGCAGCTGTGGTGATACATTATAATATAAACAATAATATACTTAATACACACTAAGTAAAGCATATAAAGGAAATGCATTTGACTAGCTACAAAGTTATAGTAATTATATTCTTGATATAGTAACACTTATATAACATATATTGTCTATTGTTTAATGCTTTCATAAATTTAACCTGAGTACAATATTTTTGAACTGAAAGTACAGTATTAGTTGGTAAATAAGCATTTACTCAAATCTGCAATAAAATAATCACAAAACCACCAAAGGATACATTAAAAATATTCAACTTACCAAGAGAATGATTTTAATTTTATAATTAGTTTAAGAAATTAAATCAATTATATTTATAAAAAAAAAAAAATCCCAGGACTAGACATGTTTGTCATACATTAAAAAATAGTAAAAATCTTTTTTCACAGCTTAAACTAGCAAATAAATATTTGTCCTTCTAAATATCAAAATTTATGAATTGTTTTACTAACATTATTTGTGTTCTGTTCGTAAACAGTTTTTGAGAGTTAAAGCTACTATTAAGTATAAATAAAATTTCTTAAAAAATATAATTCCCGGCAAATGAGTTGACCATAGATAGACATTGGCTACACATAATTCTTTATTACGTCTACTGTTCAAGCTACATGCCAAAATGTGTATCTATTATGACTAGAGGAAATAGAATTGTGCATATTTAGTGCATGATGCAATAATGGATTTTTAAATAAATATAAGCTAAAGCATAGAAAAATAGTTTCCTTCTATAAACTCCACTATTAAGATACACACCTAAGCAGTTGATGTTATATCTTAAAATATTTGTATAAGGAATGTTAGGGCTCACATAAAATATACAACTTCATAGTGGGATATAAATTTTAAATCTATCACAGGCTATCTGACTAAGAAGTAAAAATTAAGAAGGCCAATCATAGTTATGAAAAAATGTCTTAAATGTAGATAATGACAAATCCACATGTAACCAACTTGATTTCCAAAAGATTTTATGAAACTAATCACATAAAAATTACAATTCCATATAAAACTAAAAATATATTTATTTTTATTAAATTAGAAATGTTAATACAATCCTAATCTCAAGAATGCAAAAGCAAATTATCCAATCTTAAAACTAACTGGCATTGTCTGCTAGTAATACTGCGCTCACACATAATTAAAACAACTTAAATGATATGATCATAAAGGTTTGCACAAGTATGTAATTGTGTATGCCTGCATTCAACATTCAAAATACCGCTTGTAGGTCCATACTGATGTATGGAATAAGATATCTGTCTTTTCTACAGAAAACATCTGGTACATAAAATACATAAATTGGGCATAAGTCATGAATAATGTCATATATTGTCAGATCAAAACCTTATACTGCTTAACAAACTCTAGCTAATTCATCTTATTCAATTTTTAATCATTATTTATTATAGATCTAATAAGTGTTAGACATCATTTTTGAAACAAAATTTTTGTGGGTGCAAAATTTTATTTCAGGTGAATTTAATAACTGTAGAAATATCTATATTGCCTTTGATTTAACCAATTTTAATTCAAGTTAGAAACTGTCAGTTGTTTTTTCTCTATGACTTTTAGGTGTATATGTGTTACTCACAATCTAATTTTGTGCACTCTCACCTATCATAGTTCATAGAGAAAAAATATTTGACACATGTGGAGAGACCTGACAGGGTCATATTCAGAGTCGTTCATTAGGAGTGAACGGTTATTTAAACTAGTAAAGATTTCAATAAGTTCACTATAGAACCAATCGGAAGTTAAAAAAGGTTTTCCATATCCTCCCAATCAGTCAACAAATTAAAGTTTGATAAGTGAATTGCATGATTCTTTTCTTTAGATATAAAACTGTCAAATACCGTACCGTAAATAAATGGACGACCCTAAGTTTCACTCTATGTAGACAAAAGAAGTTGTTTCTTATGAGTCAATTATGATGAAAAGCTAACCCATTTGTTCCTATCTTTAGCAAGGGCACGGTCCTAAGGCGGGGTACCGGCGTGGGGTACCGACGGGTGCGTAGTCACTATGGGGTGTGACGTTACAGGAGGTTGCTGGGGTGCGACAGGCAATGCCCCAGGCACGCTGAAGTGACGTACCGCGGCCTCTAGGGCAACATTGTTGCCGCTGAAGTAGGCCGATATCGCATTGTGGAACAGTAACAGCTGCTTATTCATCACTTTCACCTGTCATTATAAAATAATGCCTTTGTATTGCCCTAACTTTCACAATTACTACTAAGATTGAGGTACTTCAATTAGTCACAATATTGTCTTAAGTACTTTTATTACTTTGATTATTTTATTCACAACGCAACGATTCGCAACATTCCATGTCCCACAATAAAAAAAGTATATGTATACCCTGTTTTCGTGGAGTAACTTGAGCTTGACTGCGGAATCATCCCGGAGGCGTCCATAAACAGACCGCTGCCTTTCAAGACGAGCTGCCACGCCTTCACCACCCGCTCCGCTACCACCCGCCCCTGTGCCCGCTGCTTCTGATTCGCTACGATATGCGTCGTATTCCACCCTATACATACGTTTACATTAAATTTTTTAATCTAAATCAACAGTAAAGTCACGTATTCCAAAAACTTTTAAATTAATTAAAGTAGAACTATAGTTTTTTATCACAACCACCACCCTATCACAAACCAACACTAAAACGAAAACAAAACAAATATGGAAGAAACATTCTAAAACAACCTAATCAAAAGCCTTCCCACCACGGTTGGTCGCCGCGGGAAGATCAGACCACCACCCTCTAACAAAAAACATAGTATATATATATTGCATCCCTCAATATTAGGACTTTAAGAACTCCTGAATCACTAAAAAGAGTCGCAAAAGATAGAAAACAGTGGAAAGGGTTAGAGGAGGCCTTTGCCAAGAGGCACACCGAACTCCGAGATATACTGGAGTGAAAATATATTAAAGTTCAGATATATAAAATGACAGAGTTTCGGAATTTAAAGGCTATATTATTATTATTATTATTATTATTATAGTTTTTTATTGCTACAAAGCTATAACTTAATTTTTATTTCAATTGAGTATCGTAAGTCCAGAATTGAACGCAGCTCCACCGCTTCGCTTGTGTGATTATATTATGCATATCCATCCCTCTATATAAACACATTTGTGACCTTATTATATTATCATTGCAACCACGGAAACTAACACGATATTAATATTATATTTAGATCCCATTGTGAAATAAGACAATTGGTGTTTTATTATGTACACAATTGATGTCTCTTTAAAGCAGTAAATTCAACGCCATATATACCTGGCTGCCTCATATTGTCGAATGGTTAGTAGCGTGTCTTCCATACTTTTGTTGGCCAATGTATGCAGCGAGCTGTTGAAGAAGTGCAAAGCCGCTAGTAATGTCTCGCCATTACGGGTTAAGGACCTCTGTGTATCCGCATTATATAGAAACCTGCAAATTTCGTATTAAGTACATAGGCGCATATGGAAGATGATAATTTCAGTGTAACATTATAATTGGGGTGAAATACTTTATATTATGGAGGGGCTTTATCAAATAGATACTTTCGAAGGGAATAATACCTAATTCAAGTTAGTAAATTTTACTCGAACGAAGCTTTCTTTTTAAACCTGCAATATACTATTTTCGAAATTAATCTTCCTACCCAGGCGTTCAACAATTTCAAATCCGAATCTGAAACTAGAAGAGGAAGCAAACTGAGGCATCATGTCATAAGTAATCTTATACTTTATGACATCAAAAATCAGATCTGGATCAAGTTTTTTTTTCCAATATGGTAAACTAAACACATAAAATGGAATCTAAATTTAAAAAGGACTCTTAATTTAGAAAGGACTTATCGTAGATAACATACAAACATATTGAAAACATAGTGTACATTTCATATATCCATAATATCAAACTAGTAAAATAACTAACTGAGTTTGCAGCTCCGGCGACTTCTGTGCCAGGTCAGCAAAGGCTTCTCCAAGGGCGCGTTGCGTGTTGGATGCAGCTGAAAGCTGTGCCGCTAGTGCCGTACTCAGCCGTAGAACATTTAAGTACTTGCGTTGTGTCTCGCGAAGCATCTCGATCTGCGCTTCTAACTCTGCACAGAAATTTTTTGTTAAGTAGTTTATCAAGACCTAAAAATGAATTCAGGATATTTTATTACACAACTACTAGTGTATTAATAATTAAATTATATAGATGGGTTAATTAGGTAGATGAACTTGTTGTTGAGCCATCAATGATAGCAGAAATGATGGACCAATACCGAATGTCAAACTATCTAAGTCTGAAGCTACCTTTGATGCTCTCTCGATTTCGAGTGAAATGGCTTTAAAATCCCTAGATACGTTTAACGACACAACAGCATCAGGACCAGACGGCTTCCCATCCGTAGGGGAGACCGGGTACAAAAGTAACGGCGGGTCGAAAGTAACAAATGCTCTCTAGATTCATCCAATGGGCGAAAACAGCTTCGCCGCCGTCAGGCGATAGCTGAGAGTGCCCCCCGCACTTGTAGTTAGTCGCCGCGTACTCCACGCACTGTTAGATTGTGTGAGAGGATACTACGTGTTTTTACAAACCAAAACTAAGTTTTTCGATATTTTGTTATTTAATGTTTACATAGTCGTAAAAGGATGGTAGTAATCTGAATGTTTGCATATCTATTTTTGATTAGATTGATTGTACATTGTTTAAATTTGTTTTTGTTTAGCACGTTCCGTGTTTTAAGGTTATATTTCATGTTTCAAACCAAAAATGTTCTAGGAAGGGTACAAAAGCAACTAAATAGTCCGATGGAGTACACAAGTCAACAAACAAACCTTGCAAAAATTTTTCCCCAAAAAAACCAAAAAAAAGGGGGGGGGAAACCCCCGAACGGGGGGGATTGGGAAAGTTTTTTTTTTCTTTCCTTCAATGCTCAAGGAGGACACATATCTCCTTTTCGTATTCCCATTTAAACAATTCCAAGACCACATGATTCTTGAGGGTCCTGTTGGTTGTGCCGGAGCTGGCAATGCTAGTGGATGGATGCAGAATGCAGAACTCTTACTTTTTAAATAAATAATTGTTGATTAAACATATAATATTGTAATTAATTACCCAACCTCTTCTTTGTTACATTTCTGACCTGCCTACGTGGTCGAAAGCAAAACTTATGATTTTTTTTAACTCTCTTTATTCATATAAAACACACCATAGTAAAAAAAATCGAGCTGCTAGTGTAAAAGAACATAAACTGAATTTATATATGGTTATATTAATTTAATGACAATATTAAAACCTGGCCACAAATCATAGTGTGAAGTACAAACAGTTACTTTTCGTCATTATTAAAAACATTATCGATTCACATCCCTAAACATAGTTGTACTTATTGAGCCCAATATTTAGGAAAAGTAACAATTTATCAGCCTCTAACTGTCGGGGGGATCTACAAGTCCATTTTAAATATCAGAAGAAGATGGCAAAAATTGAGGAGTTACTGACGAAAATAGTATACCCTGCGAACAACATTTTTTCCTGATCGTAGTAAAGAATATTGACGGATTGAAAAAATCCAAATCCATTTTTATCATATTTGGATTATTACTAAAACATTGACTAAATATTACGGCTACATTAAAAAAAAATACATGTGTTTTAAATTTCAAATTAATCAGTCGGTAAAGTGACGGATTTGATAGACGCTTATTCTAGAAAACTGTGTAATTTAATTTTATTATTTTTATTTTTATTCAAAAGAAACCCTATTGTTTGCTTGTATGCCAATTTTCATAATTACAGAATATGAATTAAAAAGCTATGACAAAAAACTAACATGATTATATTATTTTGAAGTGAGTGCCCTGTAAAGTTTACTATTTGTCAGATCCGTCACTATTCTACGACTATGACGATTTATTTGTACCAGGACGATCTGTTGCAACTAACCTCAATTGCCTAAATTGAGGTTACCCGTTAGGTAAGAAGTTTCTACCAAGGTGATGCTATAGATATAGTCTACCTAGATTTTGGATAAGCTTTTGACCATGTCCTAGTACGCCGTCTTATATGCAAATTAAAGCACGAGCACGAGCAGAGATCCGAGGAAAAATATTAACTGGGATTACGAATTACCTAACGGTTCGGAATGCTGTTTTCAAGTTCGCATTAGAGATCCACTGTCCTTGCTTCGACATATTGTGTCAAGTGGCGTACCTCAAGGGTCAGTACTTTGACCTTTACTTTATTTTCTGTACATGACAGATCTGAAGGACTCACTACAGATTTCATATTTGCTCTTCGCCGACGTCACCAATTTTTTTAAAAATCCACTCTCCCTATCTCCAGCAATACAGAGGGGCTTAGATTATATTTTTGATTGGACCAAGCAGTGGCTACTGTCATTAAATGTAAAAAAGTGCACAATATTGCACATAGGCAAGGAAAATCCGCACATTACTTATCATCTAGGTCAACAGCAGTTACTGCCAGTATGCACGTAAAAAGACTTGGGTGTTACTATCAGATATGATTTGAAATGGAAATTTCACATCAATAATATTGTAAAAAAGGTAAATCCATGCTCTATTTTGTGAGAAAATCATTTAAATGCCTCACATCAAGAACACTCTTAAAGATATATAAATCTATCCACTATTAGAGTATGCCAACAGCATTTGGGATCCTTATTTCATAAAGATATTAATATGATTGAAAGGGTTCAAAGAAAAGCCACTTAAATGGTCAGAGCATCTAGGAAAAAACCTTATAAATAAGCACTTGAACTTTCCGATTTAGGAAGTACACGATTAAGAGGTGATCTCATTGAAACCTATTTTTACAGGATTTTTACCTTACTGGCCACCATAATGTTCCAGGAATTGAGAAGCTCTTTATTTTAAGTGAGAACACACATTTGATGAGTAGTTCTTTAAACTGAAGGTAAACTAATTTAAAATTTGTTATGTCTAATGTTTTGATGTTATTTTTTTTCTTACCAGTATCTACAGTCCTTGAGCTTTTGCCAAGTTTTTCATAGAGTAGTTGTTTTGTGCACTTGTAAGTTGATACACTCCAATTCTTGAGATTTTCCAATTTAGTTGAGCTTGACCGCAAAAGTGTACTTGTGTTTGCTGCTCCATTTGGTGTCATCTCTGGTGACACTGCAACAGCAACATCTTCATTTAATAATGTATTAAACTCAAGTTAATGGTAAAAAACAAAAGAAATTATTCTAATTTCAAAGAAATAGAAGTGTTTATAAGTTATATTTTAATATTATGTAAGAAATTCTAAACATTAATTTTACCATACGCTGAGGGAAAACTCATAGATCTTGACGTGGAAAATTTAGCCTCCGTCCCTGATGTGATTGAATCACTGGATTCTCTAAGAGGAGGAGTATCTTTCAACATTTCATGTATACTTCGTTCTGATTGCCTGTTAACAAAATCAGTCTATAATATATATATATATTTCGAATACCAAATCTATCCCTTCAATATCAAGAATCTAAAAGCTTGTGTATATGATTATTTTCATGAACATGTAGATAGCAGGGTCAAAAGATTTAATGGAAATGGAGGATATATAAATTTTTCTAATATTGAGCAAGATAAAGCTTAAGTTAAGTAAAGTTTTTCCTTAATCCTTGATGTTATTAAAGGCCAAGGCTAGCCTTGGCATTGACTATAAATATGTATATACATATATATACTCCTATAATTATATGATGCAGATACATTTATAGAACTGATTTGATTATTTTAGTACAAGTGCAAGACTTTTGTGCCTTTGAAACAGAAAAAATTACTACTTGTCTGTTATCTTTGTTGAGTTTTGGGAATCAACTAACAAGCACGTATCCAACTGATCCGCGGAGATACGAATGATAGTCAACATAGAAATTACTCACCACTTCGACATTTTGCCGGTGCAATAAAAGGTACGATGATGGGCTAAGCCTTAGATTTTAGCCGTTCTCGTAATAATCTTTTTAAATTACAACGAATACATGACTAAACTTATCATACATAAATGTAATTTACGATTCAATAGACAAAATTTTAAAAATTCTTGTATACTTATGATAAATTTTTAAGAAATCTTTTTTCTTAATTTCCAATAAACTACAAAATTTATGAACACAGCCTCAGCACTCAGCAGGCAACCTAAAATATAAATTATTATAAAAATTGAATTTAAAAGAAAAAATAAAAAATTATTATATTTTTTTGTTGGTTTATAAAAATAATTTTTTATTAAAATAAAATAATAAAAGTAGTAAAGATTAATTAAAGAAGGAAGTTTTTTTAATTTAATTTTATACAATTTTTTTAAATTATATAATAAATGAAACTTAAAGTAAGATTTTTGTGTTATGTTGGATATTGTATAAAGTGTTTTGAGTATTAGTTGATATATTTTGTAGGATAAATCTTAATTCTTCCAATGTCGTAGCCCTTTTTCCATCAAAAGCAACATTCTTTTATTAAAAGATTTCTATTTGACTTTTAATTCTATTAATATCGGAAAATATTCTTTAACTTTGGGTTAGAAGAGTAGTATATTGTTCAAAACGGCCAAATTTATTTTGGTTTGCTATTCCATCGAAATTTGGCTGATCACTCAAAATTTATCCACCATAAAATTTTAGAAGTTGAATCAAGTTGAAATAAATTAGACAGGAAAATCTAATTTTAATTCCTATATTGTTGTCAAAATTGATATTTTCTGTTGTAACTAAGTTAGGAAACCTTTGTAGTATTTTTATTAAGTAAATTCACCATATCCTTTGGATATAGAAAATTAATTATTTGTAAGAGTTTTGAGAAATTGTTTACTTAGTCGATAAAAATTTAATTGTTAAATTTATTTTATTTATTCGAAATATTTATTATTTATTAGTTTGTCCCATAATGTTTTTTAGGAAATATACTTGAACTGGGATTATTGACTGAAGCAAAGTAGTTTTAATTTTTATCTTCATAAAACAATAAATAATTTTTGTATATTTGTAATTTTAATAGGTCTATATTAAAAATAAGTTAAATTTTGTAGTTATGGGTAATATAAAATCTAAAAGGAAAGATAAAGTTTTGTTTCATCGCTTTAAGGTGATAAATATAAATTGAAAGTAGATTTCATTTTATTTCTAAAAACTCATTTTGAAAAAAAGTTTTAATTAACTGCTCTTATTGTAATATGATGTAGAGAAATATATATAGTGAGAAGATATGGTGAGTGGAGTGTTAAAATTTTGAAATTAAAATTTTTAGTTGGTATGTAGAGAATATAATAAAATTTTGAAAAAATTATAGAAGAGGTAATTTTTCATATTTATGAAAGATTTGTTGAGTGGCAAATACATTTAAAAAAATAAGTTTGGGTTGACTTCCCTATTTTATACATTTTTTCCAAAATAATTCGTTGTATAAAACCTATTAAATTTTCTATGTTAAGGTTTCTTTCAGATAAGGCACATGTTAAACTATCAAACAAATATGGCAGTTTACCTTTTAAGTCCACATAAAAAAATTTTGTTTGTGGAGATTGCAATTTTTCTGAGTAGTACTTTATTGCTGCAAGACGTATACTACATCTGTGCTTTCGTATAATAGGAAAATATGGGCTTCTCTCAGTTTATTTTCCAGCCTTGAGTAATTTGAATTTTTCTTCGAAGTTATTGCCTAAGACGTTGTAAAGCAGATTTAGTTCTTCTAAGAAAAAGTTTTGGATTTAGAGTTGAAATGCCTGAAATAATTCGTTATATCCATTAAAAAGGAATATTATGTTCACTAATGCAGCTACAATTGATTTTCTTTTACTTCTTCCGAAATAGTTGATGTTTTAAAAATGTATCAATCTGTAAACAAAAAAGTTAAAAATAAGTATGCAGGAAAAAAAAAAAGTCAAAAATAAGCAATTTAATATATATAAATTCGTATACAATGTTTGTCTCAATGGATCCTAAACTACCGAACATATAATATTTGCACACGTGTAGATAGTTTGATCCAAATTAAAAGTAGTTTAAATCTCAAATGTAGCAATATTATTTATTGCAAAATATTTGTTTATTATTTGATACAATTCTAAAGGGGCTGTGTTATAAGTATCAACTTTCAAAAGTTTCATCTACCTTTAAGATAAGTTCTCCTACCCCTAACAGATGGCGCTGTGTTAAAAGTATCAACCACATAAGCTACCTTTCATACGTTCTCCTCCGTTTCTTGAATAGTTTATATATTATAAAACTACCACAAATTGGCCGAGTTTAGTTTTATATATCATTTAAATAAATAAAATGAAAAACACATAGTTGTATAATAATAATTGTTATGTAAAGTGTAGATAATAAACATATTAAAACAGCGAAAGTTTGTTTTTGAATATGGTTTAAACATAATACGGGTTCACGATGAAAGTATTAAATTTTTTTAACAAAAAAATTAACTAAGACTTACATTCCACATATAATGTAAGTACCTTACGTACCTTAGAAATGCCGGAATATCCTTTATGTTTTTATATGCTTTGATGTAGCCATATGTTCCTTTAAAGATGCCACTCTCCTTAGTACTTCACAGTTGCATGCTTTACAATGAGCACTGAGTTTTTACTCTAGATTTAGACAACCAACTTTTAAATAGGGATCTTGCTCCCATTCATCGATATATTTGTGTATATTTACGTTTCATTATATATCGATTATATAAATTCTCAGTAAAGGTATTCCCACTAAATCACAATATACGAGTCACGGAACGAATGGTTTATAGTAACGAAAATAAGAAAATTCAATAGAACTTACCACCCAATCGAAAAGGGAATACCCCGCATTTATTCGATGTGCCAAAAAGTACCTACTAGAATAATGATAAACGTGAATTCTACTAAAATATACCAAATAATTTTTACATACTAAATTCTGTTGCCAGTACCTCAAAATCTACCAAAAAAGTAGAAATCTACTAAATCTGGTCACCACTGAGCCTCAGCCCTCAGCACTCAAACTGCAGCTTTCAAGTTTCAAGTTTCAACAGACTGACTGATGACATTTAACAAAATTAAGTTTAAATGACAAATAGTCGTCTTAAGGCGCCTTTGTGTTTTAAACAGATTAAAATAAGGCTGAATTGCTGATACAATAATAATATTAGCAAAACCCTTACACCGTTTGTTTAAAAATGCATTAGAGTAAGCAAGATAAGCCATAAATTGTTTGTATCAAAAAGTTAGTAGACAAATTGTACAACACCACACTTGATACATTCGAGCTGTCAAAAACTGCTGTAATATAATATATATTTTGTGTTTAAGCCAAGGATAATAAAACAAAAAATATTGTAATATTGCACTATGTATATTATTTTTTATTACAATTGCTTATATTTAAAATGTGGTAATAATTATCGAATGTAGAATAGTAGCTTTGCTATTCTTATAATATTCTACGGTACAAAAGGGTTTAATTACCATGGTTACACTTTGTATGAAAATATAACATGCAAAAAACACGGAACTAAATATAGACGTTTTATAATAAGCCATGAGGCCGATTGTTTCTCACATGTTCCTTAAAATTTCGCGTTTATCATTTTATTTTATTTTAAAATTGTCTCTGTGGTCTAGTACATAGTCTAGAATTATGTATCTGCTAAATAGTGTGCGTTTTCCAATTACAGCACTAGAGCGCATTTTGCGGCATAATGCTCAACGTTGAGTGTTCCAACTACAGCAACGCTTCGCACAATTGAGCACTCTCGCAAACAATACCAACACAGTGACAGAAAATTGACCAGTATTTTTCTTTAAGTTGGCATTTATCGAAATTTTCGTTAGTAAATATTATTTATTGTTGAAAAATTTGTAAGGCTTTCGTTTCGTCGTAGATTTTGAAAATAATTAATGTTATTTCAAACTGCTAAAAAAATAAATATTAGTATGGATGAAGGTATAAATAGTTACTTTTTTTATATTCCACATTTAAAATATGAATACATACAATTTTATTTTAAAATTCGGATCTGTAAACAAATTTACTTTACAGGATTATACTTTAGAAAAAATTGCAATGGTTTTGAAAAAGTATATATTTTTTTAGAAATCATTAAAAAATATTACTCAAAACGTAAATGATGTAAACTTCTTACATGAAACTAAATATTTTACTGTTAATTTAGCTTGTTAAAACCTTATATTCTTTAAAGGTTTTCTCTTATTTCAGTAAAAAAAATTTAATGAAATAATTTGATTATTAAATTAAGCGTAAAAAGTTTTCAACCAATTATTATTGTTTACCACATTATTTATACATTAATGAGGTTGCTAACTCTATTCAGACCATTTTTTTGTCAACACTGACTTAGCGCACTCTGCTGATGCATTTGAAAACTAATTCACGTTCCAATTAAGCTTCAGCATTATGCGGCATTGTGCGGCACTGAGTCAAAAAATGCTCTGTAATTGGAAAACGCATGTAACTGTGCGTATGTAAGTCAGTGTTGACAAAAAATGGTACATTAATTCTTAAATAATAACATTTTGCTTTATTATCTAGTTTATAGACTAGGACCTTAGAAGGTAAATAAATACTATAAAATATTTTTTACTTCATGGTAACATTTTACTTACATCACTATAAAGATTACAAAAATAATATCATACAACTTTTTAATACCTAACAGATTATTTGATTTGTACAACTTTTAAATCGATTTTAAAAGTACAGTAGGTATATCGGTTACATTTAAGTGTGGTTATTTATAAACTTGCATACGAGTACCTATATTATTAAATTTGCATACATTCTGGGAAATAAATTTACATACAAAACGAATATTGAACAAATTTATATATTTTCTTTTCATAGTTTTTTGTTCATCAACAATGACCTTAGAGACTAGAAATAAACACATTTATCATCCTTTTAATTCTAACTACAGTCTAAAACGTGAAATAATATTAAATTTGTTTTTATCTGAGATCTTAGTAGGTAGAGTCTGTGAGGAAAAGAACCGTCGTGGTATTTAAAGTCGTATAAAAATAATATCATACAACCTATACTAAATTGCATTTTTCGTTGTTGATAAAAATGGTTCGTCATATACGTTATAGTTGGAGAGTAATCATATAGATACTTAATAATAAAAAGTATGTATACTGTCCAAACGCTAATTCGCATAACCGCTATGCCGGTTCTACTTCCGCACAGACTTACCTACTAAGACTATATTAAAATATTTTCTTACGTTTTATTTGTAATCGGATTTCTTTTCATTATAATTTTTTTCTTAAAGCACTTTCTCCGAAATCTTTTAATGTTGCCATAGAGTGTCTATTGTCCATGATATTCATAAACGAATTTATATTATATACAAATATTACGTTAGTGCCGACTCTTCAAGCTGTAGCTTTTGGGTTCGGTCCTGTCGTACGTAGTAGCAAAGGTTAGCGAACGCGTTCCCTTATTCAATGATCGTCGTCAGTCATCCACGTTAAAGATGATGGCACAGGGTGGGGCGCGAAGTGGTCGCATCTCCGCCCCGGAGCTGTCACTAATTACAACTGTCTCCTGCGGGCAGCAAGACGTCTTCATCGATTCCGTAGATGTCTTGTGGTTCTGAAACGTCCATTCTCGTCTTTAATTCTTAAAATTAATCACGGTACCTGTTAGCAGAGTGTGGTTGTAATTGAATAATCATTTAATTGTTGAATAAGTTTTATTGTATAGCATAGATTACAATTGGTACAGGCAGTTTTTCAAAGTTATCAATAAAGGAAGTAACTGAGTATAGAGAATAAACTCATAGTAGTGTAATTCGCGATATAACCACAGACTACACAACATAGACAAAGTAGAACACGCGAATTTTATTTTAACAGTAGGTCGTATTTTTTACACATTTACGATATATCAATAAAATTTTAACTTTTTACGTACTTCGTTTTCTATGTTAATATGAAGGTAACTTTATTCTAGTTTAGCTTATCAAACCTTCAATAGCCATTTTCCTATATGACAATATGGTACGTGGAATTAATTGTAATGAGAAAAGGCCTACTAATTTTAACGGACTTCAATAAAGAAGTGTCAAAGACTTCCGCATGAAATAAGTGACAACAAACCGGAACTCAAGGCTATGTTAGGCGCATACAAAATACCTTAAAAACATGTATTGTACAGCGTAGTCGTAACATGTTATTTTCGGACCTTGATCAGTTACAAAGGATGGTTTATCTAGATAGGAATGAAGTTTTTAAAAAGAAATAGCATGTTAAATCTAAGTAATTTGAAAGTTTTCTTTATATAATATATAGATCAAACTCCCGGCAAATAAAAAATAAATTTATACTTCATTTTCATTACGTTAAGTATTACTAATGCAGATAATATGCTAAATAATATTTATGTTTTCAAATATGTGCAAAGCTGAATGGGTTTATAAGCAATGTATATATTTTAGATTTTTTTCCGTTAGGAAAGGACCAAATTCTAGGTGTCATATCCCACTAACTTCCATAATCTTATAAAAACTCTGGTACGAAACATTTTAGAATATCTACTAGAACCTTTTTCTCCTCCCCCCCCTTTTTTTCCCCTCTTTTTCTTCACGATTTAATCGGTTTAAAGTCGGTTTTTATCAGCATTGTGTGCCCGTCTTTACTTAAATCCCTATCGGCATTTTTGTGCACATTTCGGGAAACTCAATTGTGGGGGAGTTTAAAGAAGTTTCTCCCCCCTCCCCTTTTTTATGATTCATGTAATTTTCGCGTATATCCTCTTTGTAACATATTTTCAGTGTTTTAACATATTATGTGATGTTTACAAGATAAAATAACATACAAAACGCTTTGAGTTTGACTCGTTTACAGGGCAACAGTGTGATCTGTGATAAATCACAGACATAGTCGGTATGACAGAACATCCAAAACCAAAACAAACCCCCCCCCCTTCCTTTATTTTTAGGATTAGCAACCCTGAAGTACAAACCAGTTTAATTAAGAGAAGTAAGGCCGGCAATATAATGAAAATATTTTTTTCCTTTTCCCGGTTTTTTAAATTTTTTTTTTTGTCCAATAGGTACTAGTTAAGAAAATATTAGAGACATTACATAACAGCGATATTTTATATATTATTTACTAATAAAAATACATTTCTAAATAAGGAAGGTGTATTAAAGGAAATAAATAAATAATTATGCATTATTAAGATCCAAAACCGATCTTAAGCTTAATTTATTCAGTCCTAATTGCAGTTTTAATTGGTTCCCGTGGGCTCAAATTCAAAGCCTAATTTTAGGTCCTTAATTAAAACTAACGTATAATTCGTCGTAACTTACCCGTTTAAAACAGCGTGCTATGCTTCGTCCGAGGTTTGTGAATGAGCAGCGACGTCGTTGCCTCATCAGAACGTAAAGAATGGGATCCAGCACATAGTTAAACAACATTAACATGTCTGACAGCCGTCCGAGGCTATCAAGGCGTCGCCAAGATGTTTTACCCAGAGACAGGTACAACGCTGATGTTACCTATATGCACACATTGGTTGTAAGAAAAACTCTTTGGTGTTAAAAATTCGGGGCTTGAATGGCGTCTTTAAAAGCCTGTCAATACTAAACGATATTTAAAAATGTCTTCTCTCCAAAATAATTATAGGACAAGGGGCTGATTGAGTGTTGATTCTCTGCTGCGTTATTGATAAAATAATATAAAATAAACATAATTTAAAATTAGCTAGAACTGCAGTTGAGCTTGGAAATACATATTTAAAAAAATATGATTACCTATGGTGTAATTTTAATTTAGAAAACAGTATATACACACGTTCAGACGTTTCTCGATAAATATAAACAAGAACATTCATTAAGTCGATAGCATGTTTGCACAATAGGCAATGTCGTTATCTCTTATCTGATCGTGTGTGATGGCAGGTGGTCTCCCAATTAGCTCCTTTAGCGCTTAACTATCAGCACCCACCCATGATCTTAATTGACTATTTGTGGAAAACACATTTAAGTAATGACGTTCTATAAACATTAAAACACTATCAACAAATTGAAGGAATGATTGATGTGGCATTCTCTATCTATCATCTATACCTGCTACCTAATTATATTAAGAACAAAGTAGGTTTCAATCTAAAGTAAATTTGTAATTACTTAACCCAGTAAAACAAAGCGCCTAATACACGTCTAAAATAATTCTATATCATATCATAAAAATGGTTTGACGATTTATCCGATTATTGCTATGTCAATTTCAATCTATTAGATCGGCGGCCGGGTCAATGATACGTATTATTTTGTTGGTAGCAAATGCAGAAGCAATTCGTTGCCATATTTATCGTTACAACAATGAAATATATTCGCCGGCGATCAACGCGTTGTGAATGCTTAACAATATTATTACAATTTTATTGTTATCGATTTATTGACATAGGAATGCACAGATCACTATCGGGATGTTACATGCGATGATTTTATAGTATATTTTAATTAGATCGCAATTTGTATTAAGATAAAAAAATATAGTGTTATATGCTTCATTATCACATAATAACGAATAATATTACAAATGTTTTAAAAAGTAAATTTTACATTGTTATTCCGTACTAAAACATAATAAAAGACTTATTTCAGATAATTCTTTCTGAAAGAATAAGAATCAAGACCGAATATGATTACGGAGATTGAATTAAAGAACTTAAATTTAGATAAAACACATTAACGTTTATAAACGCGAACATATACGATTTAAGGACATCAGTCGAGAGACTTCAAAATTGATATAGTACTTAATAACAACTTAAAAGTGAGACATAAAATGTTACTCGCGTAAACCAAAGACAATATTAAGTGTAGGGAACTTAACAGAGGAGAATTGATATTCCGGTGAGCAGCGAGTAGTCCACGGCCTTGATGGATAATGCTTATGTTTTATTGATTAATTAAACAATTCAATTAATATGAAAATTATTGATACGACCATAATTTAATTTCATATATCATTTTCGGGGCTTTCCAATTTTAAAATAATAGAAAATTTGTTGAGATATTAACCATTTGTGGCAGCCAACAGATCATGAAAAGAACAGAGAGCGTGGCCATCAATCTGCTAAAGGCAACTTCTTCAGCCGTTGCTGCGTTATGTTGACGTAGGGCGGCATCACAACGTGAACGGCAGCTGCGTTTGGAGACCCGCCTAACTACTGGCCCACCTTCCCGTGGAGTAGAAATTGCGTACAGCGCTCGCATAACCGCCAGGTTACAATATACCAGGATCATACACAGCGCTATGCCTGTAAAGAAATGTTTAAATTGGGAGCATTATGTAGTGAAATAGACTCAAAAATTCTTGTCCTACATTCCCAATGTAAAGGAAATAGTAGTATAGGCAACATTGTATCGAGCTGGCACAGCAAAGTAACGAGTTATGCAGGAAACAAATAGACAAATAATATTATAACAAACACGTGTATCATTAACAATTTGATTTATTTTAGTTTTACTGCAGAGAGAGCTTGAGACTGTTTGTTTTTTTTATTTTTAATCGACATCAAAAAAAAATCAGAAAGATTCCATGTGTATTTATTATTCATATGAAATATTAAATGAAAATAATCGTTTCCTAAGCAAATATAAAAACCGCTGTTTCGACCGCGTTCATAAATTGGTTACGTTTGCTTATAGATCAATAGGTAGGTTTAAATCCCGTCCCAAGAAAGCATTCTTTTGGGTTAGAAAAATACAGAACACATACCTGTCCAGGTTCTAAAAGTATTAATGGAGTAAAACAGAAATTAGTCCAGGAGTATGAATAGCTTTTCTTCTATAAAACTTTTATGGACGCTAATCGTGATCTTGAAGGGAAATAAGGGTAATACACCTACGCATTATAGATGGTAATTTATCACGATCCTATGTCATGTTCAATATGTTTATTTTTACACAGTTCATAAACCTATTAGTACCTGTATCTAATCTGCATTCCTCAAAGAACGTCGGATATTATAATTTTTATATTTTATTTTTATAATAGATTAAATTTTTTTTATTGAAATTTAAAAAGATTGGTCCCTGTGGCAGGGTATCTTTAACGGGGGCAGCATTTCCTCGCTGTATTGCGATACTTATTCATTGAGCGAGGAAAGCACTAACTCTGGGGTCACCGGTACTATCTACCAGGCGCCAACAAAAATCTTTGCACTGTGCACTTGAACCCCACGGCCCAAGAGTCTCTACTCGAAAGGGAACAAAATTGAAGTTGGTGGAAAGAATTTTATATTTGAGCCGAGTTTTTTATTATTTTCCGCCTGCTCTGCGGTCGCCCCAGCTGTTTTGCTTGTCCGAGTGAGGTGAGGTTTATAATAATTATATATTAAGTAATATGTATCTATTATTGACGTGACAACGTTTCATGACTCATGCGGCGTTACCCATGAGGCGTTCCATTTACGGCTTGAAGTGCAAGCGAGAGCGCGGAACGAGCGACAAAGAGGCACAATCGGCCTCCGCGTTCGGCTCAATTCAATTGCGATTTCCATTTACCTTCGTCTCTATATCCATACAAAATATCTATCAAACAAATAACATTAAAATTTTCTTTTGAAAAATGCAACCATTCCATCAGTATTTTCTTATGACGTTGTAACGTTCAACTATCGTCAGACTTTACAGACAACCGATTTTTTTAAGAAGGCTTATCATATCTCCTTAGTTAGAACGTTTTCTGTGTGACGTTTATGTTACTGAATTTCAAAGAGAAGATCATATTACTCACCAAATGTGACATAGAAGATAGCGTATGCAAAGTCCAAGCCCTCAGTCGCGTTTCTGTATCTGACGCAGCGCTGGTGGTCAGCGTCGTAATACATTCCAATCCCAAGCACGGGCGCGCAAGTCAATAGCGCTGCCCAAATCCAAGATACCAGAAGCGTCATACGTATCACGAAGTACGTTACTTGCTGAAACGATATATTTTACGTGACATGTAAAACGTACAAAAATTATCTAAAGAAAAGTATATTTAGAAGGTGAATAGCGAATCAAATCTCTTGCAGAGACTGTTTTTGATCGCTCTGATTGAAAAATCAGTAAATTCCACGCTGAATCTGCCCCATTCTTTTGCGGGTTGGATAAATAAGGAAATATGGTGAACAATGTCTTCTAGTCTCTCCTTAAAGTGCAATAGTACCTATTTAATTCTATGATGAATGAAAATCGTGGTAAATGTAGAACGCCATCTTCAGAATTATGTATGGTATGATTCTTATTAATTTGAAAATACGCTGCCAGTATCTTCGGAACCTTGCCTAAAGGGACTCCTTTTAATAATATATTTTAGTTATTATATTTTAAGGTTAGTTTGTTTTTATTGTTCTTCTTTTTTGTGCATTTGTGTTTTGGAAATAAAGAAATACGTATATGTAGGTGTCTTGGGGGACCTTGATTGGAACACCTCCAAGTGATTTTCGCTGCCGGAGTTGCGTCTAAGTATTTGAAAATTGAGGATTTTGGAGATTTACGTAATTGTAGCTGTATTATAACATAGAAAACACTACAATTCATAATCAAACGAATACAGCGTTTATGGTATAAAATTGAATGAATATCAAAATGGGTAACTGTACCGTTATCTTCTTCGTAGTGTTACAAAATCTTACGACCCACATTTCGTTGCATCAGCATTGATGATCATCCCAATTGATGGAAATAGGTGACTGTATACATCTACTTACCAAGTAAAGTGCTCTTTCTACGCACTTAAGGAAAAATTCAGAATAGAGATTTGGTCGAGATTTTAGTCCGGTAAGTTTGGCATACAGGAGTCATAAAAAACAGTGGCACTGAAACCTATTAGGTCTGGGCCCTGAATTTATGTATTTGCTTTGTGATCATTTGTTTTTTCTAATAAACAAGGAGGTCAGCCTTCTGTGCGTGACCACGCCGTCGACATTTAGGGTCTAAGGCATGCCGGTCTTCTTATGATATTTTCCATCACCGTTCGAGCGAATGTTAAACGCATAGACAGAAAGTCATATATATATATATAATATATAATGTATATTTTCACTGTATAGTATAAACTTGTGAGCTGTTGAGTTGTGTAAAATCTATTGTTCATTTGAATATTTTACTCTTAATAAAAACAGGCGTAATATTAGAAACGTTATACAACTTACATTCCGTTAAATATAATAACATCCCGCATACATTATATTCTAAAACATAATTTCCTCTTCATAGTAATAATATATCAACGAGTTCTGTCTATGAAAGCTTTCCTGTTTTATTGGAAGATATCAAATTAACATTTATTGAACAAGATGTTAATGTAGACCACGTAGAACTATTCATGTATATGTTTGGCATCTTTGTAGACAAGGGTTACTTCGTGCTAGGTTTCTGACGTGCGTGTATTTAAGACCAAATTTGGTTTAACTATCAGGAGATGGACAGTTACAGTTAAGAAGACAAAAAGACGGTCACCATTCCCATCGTCGTTAAACACCGCAGCGTCCAAAATCATGAATTGCTTTTCTTAAGGATATAATACTCATATTCAAACCCAAACTTTAAATCTCTACTGTACAAGGATTACTTGTCAACATCGTATCCCTCTAACATAATTTAAATTTATGAGTGCTTTAAATCTGTTTTAATTGTTTGTTTTGTCATTGTAAGTATATCTAGTGTAGTGTGTATTTTTCTCTTACTGTGGTTAACAGAAAGAGATCGCTCGAAAGCGATAAGGCCGTCCGTCGCCCTCATTATTTAGCTTTTCTTATTGTACATAACTTTGGAACGTAATAATATAAAGAATAAAATCTGGACTGACAACTTATTTAGCTGAGAAAACTAAACTTACCCGTTGCACATATACCTACCTTTCACGATTGACAATTTCCCGAAGATAGACCCTCATAAAAATTGCACAACTCCATGATTCTAGATTTGAATTTTAGTTAATAACATTGTGAACGTACAAATATTCTAAGATTAACGAATTGATAGAATTGCAATAAATCTAATATTAAAACATTTCGCATGCTTTTATGTGTTTGTTTTGACGCGGGGTGATCCAGAGTGCGTCAGGAATAGAAACTTTCTAGTAATAAGCCGGTCAAGGGCGTATCTCTTAGTTATGTAGGTACTTAATATGAGATGGAAACGCCTCAATAGCTCGACACGTTAGAAGATCGCCTTTTTTCAAATACATAGAAAATTGGGCTTATTTATTTGTTAGTCTAAAGTCTAAAAATTAAATCTGTTCTAAGAATAAATTACTTGGACAAACAATTTTTTCGTCAATTTTGTGAATTTTAACCACCTGCGCTGTTGCAGCTTTATAGAGTTGCTATCCCTGTAACTTAGGGCCAGTTTTTTGATCCGTAGTAAAAAATGGTTTTACCATTTGTTACATTAACTATAGTTAAATGAATAACCATTGTAAAATTAAATGCGTTTTTCAATGCCTTTTTAACTATAGTTAAACTTAACAATTTGTCAATTTGTTGCCAGTGCAATGAGCAATGACATCCCAAAAAATGTGGTTCTTTTTTGTGGGGAAATTTATTTTGTATGACAACACTAACATATTGAGTGAATAAATCCATTTTGCCATCTTCATTCGTTATTTGCGCTTTGAAGAGTTTGAAGTGACAAATTAATCTAAATAACACGATATAAATAAAGTTGTTTTTCTGTGATTTAATACGGTTTACACTTTTTACGATACTTAAATATTAAATAACGATGTTCCAAACACCAACGGTCATGTAAGTAAGTACAAACATATTTTCGTGTTATTTATTCCGGTTTATCTTGTGTTTCGTAATAGAAAGTAATACATTTATGTTTTGTTAAAGGGACCATACTCTAACTTCCCAAAAAAAACTCCAAACTGGTGATGCTTCTCAAATTACACAGTCTAACCTCCCTATCCCCAATCTACAAAACGATGCAGCTTGAAATCTCTGTGACGTTTTCAACTCAGATGGGTCTAACCAAGTGTTAAATTTAATATACATTTAATGAAGGTGTACACATTTTATATTTATTCTTGTATAGCTGTGTCCTACAACAAAAGGAAAAAATATTTTAACTCTTTGGAAAGGAGCGGATTATGATCCACACGGATAAAAAAATTGAGTTTTGAAACAAAGACAAATAAGAGAGGATGATTTGTTCAATTATGCTAAGGAAGAGCATCAAAAACATTTGCTGCACCAATAGAGGCCCACCAAAATTCATACTCATATAGAGGAGTTGCACCAAAAAGTGATGCAGCAGATGGAAGAAAGGCACAATAAATATATGTAGCAGCAAAAAGAGTTGCATCAATTGAGGAGAAATGCAAGAAGAAAAATTAGAAAATATTTAATTGCTACTTTAGGGTTTCATGTTCCTAAATTTTGTAATGTTTTTTTAATAAAAATGGTTTGTATTTAAGTTATAATTAAACAGTTTATTAATCAAGTCAAATATTTTATTTATAAATTCTTGTAATAAAGTAGGTAGATGCTAACTCACAAATGTAATAAAAGCCCTAAAGAACATCATAGGTCCCTAACTAATGTGTAGCTGTAGTTTTTAGTATAAGTACATACTTGTATGTACTTATAATAATTATAAGTTAATATTATTAGTAATATATAAATAATATTAACTCTAATTCCTTTTTTTTTTCTATTGCCTATAATATTAACTTATAATAATTATAAGTTAATATTATAGGCAATAAAACTCATAATTAATTAGTGATAACTATTAATTATATACTGCTGCGGTTCTGTAGCTAGTAATGAAGCAAAATAGGTTTGTATGAGTGCTGTCTATATATACTCTTGTTCTTGTATTTTTATTTAATTATAATAATTATAAGTTAATATTATAGGCAATAAAACACATAATGAATTAGTAATATACTTAATTATATACTGCTGCGGTACTGTAGTTAGTAATGAAGCAAAATAGGTTGGTATGAGCTGCTGTCTATATATACTCTTGTTCATTGGCAGTTTAAGATCATTCCCAATTTCAGTAACAATCCAGAGCACTGTTCCCTTCGATAGGGGGTAACAGTGACAAAAATCTACATCATCCCAGGTTTCTAATGGTGGATGACATTGCCTAAATATTTTTGGTCACTCATTAACACATTCTCATATAATATTATCGTCTTCTTCATCGTCTCATTAATTAAAGTATCTCAATATGTTTAAATTCATCATTAGATAGTAATAAACGTATTTATCATAGTTTGATTTCTGTGACAAACAGCTGTTACTATATAAATTACCAGCGGCCATCTTTTTAACCCTCCGATACTGAGTAGTTAACTTTTTTGACTAATGGTTAGATATTTTACCATTGGATGCTCTTACCACGGATCAAAAAACGCATTTTGCTGATATTTAACTAATAGTAACGATTTTTTACCAATAGTTGAGTTAACTACGGATCAAAAAACCGGCCCTTAGTGGGCTTCGCGGTTAAAGTTTACCATTGGTTAAAATTATTCGATATTGAAAGTTCGTACTACTACTTATCATATTCGTTATATGTAAATATACGAAAGCATTTTATTTGTTACTACGGAACTAGCTTCTCCCGCCTTAATTCAGTCGTAGCATCTACTGCTATTCACGATAAAGTAAATACAACACAAAAATAATTAAATCCCCAACCACACACTCAAACAGTGGCGCCACATCCTTTTAGGTAAAGGCATTATATTTCTGTATCCGCTTCGTCATCAATTGTTTTTTCTAATAGGCAAGTAGGTGATCTTCTGTGCCTGACACACGCCGTCAACTTTTAATGTCTAAGGCATGAGTTTCCTTACGATGTCATATAATCTATTGGTAAAAAGCGCGCTGATACTATTGGACCAACTGCTCAGAATGAAGAGAAACTATATTTAAATTAGTATAAAGTAAAATCCTTATTATGTCAAATGGAAGAGACTAGCATTTTCTCTTTTGACTCTATCTCTTTTTAGTTTATGTGTAATAAAGTTTTTTCTTTTCTTTTCATAATATTGTATGGCATTCGAAAATCGAATGAAGTTTCTATACGCAAACGTATGCTCAATCCTATCTTTAAACAACAAACATAGACACAAAAAGTACATAAAGTTGAAAGATTCTATCACGTTGCTGAAAACACACTGACACACGATGTGAGTATTTAAGTATTTAAATCTGTGAGTCGAACTCTTAAACCGCTTGATTATGTATTCAATAGCATCAGAATATATTCTAAATATCATTTTCTAATGTGAAAAGATATAAAGTTTTAAGTAGGAATTACCTAGCCTGCAGAGATTGCAAACGGGTTTGAAGATACATATTAATTCTGGTTTAAGAAACAAGTGAGTTCTTATGTAGAAATGTTAAGTCCATCCAAATTTCAAATAAAATCTATGGTATTTAAAAGAGTTTTTGGGGGTAGTTTATTTATTTACATAAACTTGCCAACGCTCGGCACACTACTACATAGTTACATAAAAAAATAAAATATTAGATTTTATATGACTAGTACTCGTCACACGGACACGGAGAGAGAAAAAAATAATCGATTCAAAAATTATAAAAATTAAAGGAAACTTGATTACAAAGTGTGAGCAACTATGGATTGGATATCCATAGTTAACCTGGCTCGGTAATCAATCTAGATATCGGTGAATTATAGCCAAAAAGAAATATTAGAGTTATAAATATGTATATATATTATAAGAAATTTAAGAATATTTATTTTAAAAGACACAAATAGCTGCGCATATCTACGCTCTATCTACGTTTCACTTTATGCATGCGACAATTGAATTACCTTTTTAGAAGTAACATTAACTATGTAGTATTATACGTACAAGATTCGTTATGGTATTGAATTTCAAACCAGATGTTTCACTAAGATTTCTTTCGTTCTGTTTGACGTTATTCGGCCGATTGATGGCCCTGACCCCAAGACAATAACGTCAAGTTGGGGAAACTGGTGCAAAAATATTCGGTTATATTAAGGCAGCGATCAACTATGCATGTGAAAACTATGAATCCTACAAGCTGTTTTTTCGCTGTCACATATTTACGATATCCAATGTTTATTAATGCAAACCACAAGAACAACCTGTTTGGTTACTATAATGCATTACCATATCTCTTACTATCTAGATATTGGTTAACTTTTTATATCTATCGTCAGTCTTGACTTTAATGATACGCTTATTAAATTAACCGTATTGCTATGGGTTTTTATTAAATATCGTATTATTTATTAAAGCTACGCAATACAATCACACAACTTATAAGTATTATATTATATAGTACTTTTTGCGTAGTATGAATATTTTTTGTGTACAAAAAAAATATTATAAAACATGAGTTGTATATTTAACATTAAGCCTAAAACGTCACTTGACCTTCAAAGCCTTCGGTGGTCCAAACAATGTGCAATTTTCCTTTATAACGCGCGATTATTTTGATAAGTATGACAGTTCGTGATCAACTATATAAGGAAGCTTATGATAAGCATAACGTGTAGATATTAATGATCTCCATAAGAGCGGAAGGGGTCGCAAGAGTTGGTAAATATTAGACAACCCCTTAGGTAAATAGACGCATTGTATTAAGGTCAACAGTTGTAAGTACCTCTACAATATGTAAGTGCTCTTTATACGAGTATTACAAAAATCGGAATTCATATAACAGTAATTAACCGACTAACTTCTACGTATATATATAAATTATCAAGGCAAAGTCTATTTAATGTAAAGTTATATAATTGTTAGCAAAATGAATCGTCAACTACGACTTCCAACGGAACGCATGAATAATTCGTTATCGAAAAGTTTACGCAATAGTAATTTTGTATGTGGAAATGTGAACGGGAACATGCATCGAATAGTATTCTTGTAGTTCACGACAAATTGTAAGCAAAATCTATCACGTGGAAAATCTATGCCTTCGAGATGGCAGAAATTGAAATGATCGCGTTAAAGTATATTTAAGTTAAAGATAAAACGACTCCCCTTTAATTCTGTTCCCTGTTTGGATATATTCACATTTTAAATATATTCACATGTTTGTGTTTTTGAGATACCAACCTTCTGGTAGACAAAAGGCCTGGTGAGGGCAAGATATCGCTCTAGGGCCATGGTGACGGCGATGCAGACGCTTCCAATACCGAATACGCGGAGCACCACACGCGCTGCACAGTATCCCTGAGTTCGAGCCACATCAGGAAAATGCTCCGCTACCAGCAGAGCGCTGACCATGCCCACCTGTTATACAAAAAAATTTAGGAGCTAGAAATTATCTTTACGGGAGATTATTACAAAGAATTTTAGGAGCTAGAAATTATCTTTACGGGAGATTATTACAAAAAATTTTAGGAGCTAGAAATTATCTTTACAAGAGATTATTATAAAGAATTTTAGGAGCTAGAAATTATCTTTACGGGAGATTATTACAAAGAATTTTAGGAGCTAGAAATTATCTTTACGGGAGATTATTACAAAGAATTTTAGGAGCTAGAAATTATCTATACGGGAGATTATTACAAAGAAATTTAGGAGCTAGAAATTATCTTTACGGGAGATTATTACAAAGAATTTGAGGAGCTAGAAATTATCTTTACGGGAGATTATTACAAAGAATTTTAGGAGCTAGAAATTATCTATACGGGAGATTATTACAAAGAATTTGAGGAGCTAGAAATTATCTTTACGGGAGATTATTACAAAGAATTTTAGGAGCTAGAAATTATCTTCACCGGAGATTATGAGACGTGGATATTATAAGAGCAATTATTGCCAATTTAAATAGTTATGTAATAGAAAGAAAATTACTTCCCCTGAAGAAATTTTATTGAATAGCTTTGTAACGATATCTGGAATTCGCCATTAAGCAGGTGAAGCGGACACTCCGTATATCAACTGAATAGCTTAGAAGTTATTTCTTGTAATTATCTCAGTATAGGATTAATTACCTCTGTTATCCCACAGTATTTTAGTAGCGAATTCATTAGGTTTTATTTGATCGATCTAAGAAAACATGTAAATTACGGTTAATTTAACTTTAGAAAAAGCTTCAAAACTGTTTTTTTTACAGAACAGGGGGCAAACGGGCAGGAGGCTCACCTGATGTTAAGTGATACCGCCACCCATGGACACTCTCAATGCCAGAGGGCTCGTGAGTGCGTTGCCGGCCTTTTAAGAATTGGTACGCTCTTTCTTGAAGGACCCTAACTGGTTCGGAAATACGTTAGTGGGCAGCTGGTATCAGCTGTCCTGGTGAGAATGTAAAAGGGAAGACGAAAAGGTGGCATTACGTTTGTTCGATTATCAACGTTTCTAGTGCAATCACAGATTATGCTATGGGACCCAATCCGTCATTCTGTTTGACCAATCGCAACTGAAACAAAACCCATCATGGTTCCGTCTTACATTCTCACCGTCACACAGTAGAATCTTAGGATATATTTTATGTATGGTATGAAAAACATTATGTATTACCAGTGCAACCAAGTCATTAGCTGCCAACGATGTGAGGAGCAACAGGTGTTTTCTATTCCTGACTCGTCTCTCGCCTATCCTGAGCGCGATTATCGCCGCCGCGTTTCCCACAATACCAATTGCATATGCCACCTTCACGATTATGAGGAACGTGTGCATTTCACTCATGGCTCTTGGTGACGTGGCGTTGCCTGGCAACGGGTCCAGGGTATCGTTGAAGAATTCCGCCAAGGTGATGTTGGGGTCCATTTCGGGCGCCCATGTCGACAACATGGTATTCGAGCGATTATTAATCGTTATTTATAGATCGAGGAGCATAATCGTATCCCAATCTGCAACAAAATCATTTTTAGCACAACTGCAATGTTTACTTTGTAATATCCATTAGTCAAATGTTGCTGAGAGCTTTGAATTTTGCTTGTTTATAGAATTCCATCTATTGAACGAAGCGATTCTGATATTATTTTTTTAAGCCCACACAGCGGATTCAACTAAATCGCTCGGTCATTTTACGATTTGGTATTCTAATGAACGATAGCTCGAATAAGATTGTTCATATTTGGAACTTGTTGTAGTAAACGTAATTACTACAACAAGTTCCAAATTAATTCCAACGTAATTCCATGTTATAATCGATATTCCATGTTATAATCGATATTTTATGGAAAAATTGTTATAATTACACATTTATATCCGCTGTCAAACAGCTGAATGTAAGTGATAAGAGCGTGTGATAATGGTAGCCCAAATAATGAGTGTAACCATCTCCGGGTGGCGCCTATTGTAGATGGTCTATTATTTATGTTTCATATGATGAACAAATGTAAAAAGTTTCTAGTTATGAAGTTGATTAAGGAGCTTAGAATGTAAATCCATATTATAGTGATATTTATAAGTTATGGCATTTTATTTATTTATATAATAATTTCTTATTGTAAATGCTAGTGGCCTTTTTTTTAAATTTCAATTAAAGTAAAGTTGGTCTAGTAATTTTTGGGAAGTGATTGCCCTGAACAGAAGTTCTTAATACAGCATCCACAAGCGCAAGAACCCACAAAAAAAAACAATTAATTAAAACTTTCCAGGCGTTTGTTCTTATCGGGAAGTAAATTGTTAAAAAACGTCTTCTTTCTGCCAAATTCGACACTTAAAATATTTGAACACATGTCGGCATCACCGGACCGAGAATAACATACTCTATGTTAAACAAATACTCTTTTGTACCTCTCATAATATTGATCTAATAATAAATCAAATAGTCCATTTGTAGAGTACTTATGGAGCTAAAAATCCTTAATCACTTTAAATTAAATACTAAAATTAAATTACCAATTTCCTTCTAAAATACCTATTTTCTACTAAACCACTTTAAACGATCCTCCTTTACGAAATGAATAAAATTTGTAGCCCAATATTTTTTTCGTATGTTCCAACTCCTGCCTATTCGGGGTGTCTATGTGCACTTAACACTTGTGAATAAATCGTGAATAAACCGATATGTAAACCCCAATTGATGAGGTGGCACACAGGAACAAAACTAAATGATCGAAACAGACGAAAAACTATTACTTTACTTTTAGTGAATGTGATAACGAGTGAGCTCGTGTAATAGTATTTTTCGAGGAGCGAAAAATCCAATACTTATTGCTTAGAATATCGTTGTAGTATATACAAAACGTTGATTACTCATTTATTTATACAACTAGGTATTACTTGAGCAAATACACCGACAACTTGATTGGTAAAATAATCACTATAATGAGAAACAATAATTTACTATGCCGGCAATACATACATATAATAATAATTTCTTATATAAATCTATGAAATATATAGTAATATCCTTCCTTTTATTCACCGGGAATCGATAAAAGGCGAGGGAGTTGTTAATCAAAAAAGTAGAGCGTTTTTCAAAATTATTTTGTAGCATTTTTTATTTAAAAATATTATGCTATTTCTTCTTAATTTTAATTTTACTGTTCAATTTCCTATATGAAATTTATAGGCCATAGACACAGTTTACACTAGATAAACATTAAATTAGAGTTTGAGATAAGCGTTATCACGTTGATAAACATCTAATTTGCTTTCAATTATCGTAAACAAGCAACTAAAGCACATATAGAGCTTAAGTTGAGCTTTAAGTTAAGCTAAGTACACAAGAGCTTTAGTTGCAATTATTAATTCAATAATAAAATGGTTAAATATTCCCCTTATAAAATTAAGTATTATTTAGACGTATTCTTCAGCTATATGTTTACTTAGTGTTACGTTTAATTATTTAACTATGTGGGATTTATAACGTTTTTGATTTTAATATAAATAAATCCTATTAAAGTTTAACGCGCTTCCCAAACTTCAACTCACGATAAAGTTAAAAATACAATAAATTTACCTGCAAATTAAAAATTAATTTAATAATCCTCACTAGAAACACTTATTAACTTTTATTTTTAATTTCAAGTTATCGGCTACGGTGATGCAAAGATGCCGCAAACACGCGCGTCGTCACCGAATTCCGACCACATTGTGTTGACTACTTCAAGCTCCCGCTCAAAGGAAATTCTCCATTACAATACACCGACTATATGAAGCTTAATTGGTATCGGCTGCTAAATAATATAAGACAATTTTTGTACATCCATAGGAAGTAGGAAGGAAAGATCAACGACTCCAATAATTTTAATACAATGATGAGTGACAATTCATTTGATTATTAATTAAGCATTGTAGGAACAAATATCGGATGTGTTCATGTATTACTTTTATCATTAAGTAGATTTTGGCCTTTATAATCATGTCAGCAAAGGCCCGAGTACAGGATAGCGGATAATACGATTGCGATTTCATTTTCCTGAAATTCCCTTTCAGTGTTATAATAAATGTTAATTGCGCGTATAGAAGGAAACAGGCATTAGTCGAGAGACGAGAACGCACCAGCACCGAGACGAACCTAAGTATGACTTTCATATGTCAAAAAGATTTTACACACGGGTAAGTAAGTTCACGCTAAGTCCCGACTACTATGCTACTTGTAGTGTCTATCTTTCTTTATATTCCATTTAAATTACTTTGACACTAAACAATTACCCTAAAAACCATGGAAAAATTAACTTTGAAGTACTCTGTACCAAAAACTACAATCATTGATATCGATAAAAAATATTTTTTCTAAATTTACATAGGAGAACTATTTTATTCATATTAAAACCGCATTGCTCTCAATTTCCTCCAAAGGTATAAAGCTCTTATTATAACTTGTACTTTAGCAAAATACTAATTGGATTCAGTCGGGTTCAAAGTCCGCCTAAAAAATAATTTTAATGTGGAAACCACGACCTGGAGATGAGTAACGTTGTTGTACGGTCTATATGTTCATCATAATAAGTTCTTGTATGAAATTGATATATTACAATAAATTAAGACTTACATCATTCTTGTCTATTTCTGAATGAAACGCATTATATTTCTCTGCAGTTAATTATTATTAATATTTGTGATATTGCGGACGGTATATTATTATGTTTCGATTCATGAATAATAAAACTTCAAAATTATACTATTTCTATTAGGTACGCATCTAGAAAAAACATTGTCTTATTAAAATTCGAGAATCTTTATTGAAGTGGAAAGTGCTCATGTTAGATTCAATAACATGTATTAGGAAATTTGCATGTTGGCATTTTATAATAATTTCAAACGGTTGCCAAGAAAACGATTACATTGCCAGCTAGCAAAATCTCTCAAATCACTTTGGAAATATGTTTTACGATGTTATTACTATAAATATACTAGACTAGTGTAATTGCGTATTGTCTATTAGTGATCTATATGTCATCATCATCCCTTTGTTATATGGCAGCTTGCGCTGTATGGTCGACGAGGTAGCTCGATTCTACTCTTCCATAGAAAAGTGTTTGTTTCTTATTATTTATTTATTATTTGTATCTGTATATTGGGGTCTAACTGTTAACACATATTTGTTCAGCTTTGCCGCATCAAATCAGTCGTAAAGCAGTCATTTTACGATTTGGCATTCTGATAAACAATAAACTACAAAGAGGGACCTTATCAGAATGCCAAATCATAAAAAGACTGCTTCACGACTGATTTGAGCGCGACCGCCGCTGCGAAAACCGCTGTGTGAGTTCGAAAAGTGAGTTACAGAATCGCAAGGCTGTAACAAAGGAATTAGTTTCTGCTTTTGTACAATATATATTACATTGGTTGGTTTTATTACTATACCAGGCGTGCCATTTCATCCGCGTTTATTCATTAAATAGCCTTCCTCGGTAGTAGATTCAACATTAAACAAAAATATTTTACAATTCGAATACTTAGTCTATGACAAGTGCGTTCACCAAGCAGTCTTCAGCTTTATCATAGTCTATGATGTTTTAGTGTCAGTGTTAGTCATGATTGGTATTTATGGAGTGTCCTGTCATAATGTAATGGGCTCCAAGTTGGTATACAATAATAATTAATGTGTCGCTGATTTTATTTGAATAAATATTGCTTCTATTTTTGCGCTAAGTATTTTTATAAAATTTATGGTTTAAACGCTTCACTAATGAGTAGGGGAAAATCGCAAATTTGTATTGTCCATAATGATGGCAAATATCGTCACTTACTTGTGAATTACACATCCATCGTATAAATAAGTGTGCAATGTACTAGAAATTATACTTACATATTTAATTTATCTTATTTCATAACATTTACGCTTGAATCGCTTTTCATTATATTTCTACTTTACAGAAGCCAAAGTTATTTTTTAATAACTGTTTTATGATAATTACTAAGAAGTAAGTAGGAAGGATTCATACCCCCTAAATATACAAATATAAAAATGGCACTCGAAAAAAATATTTTATCTTATTTTTAGTTACAGATTAAAGAAGGCATTCACATTTCCCGCCAATTTAAAAAATATGACTTCAAAACTACGTTTCGAGTGCTTAATTAATGTGTAGTAAGTGGTTTAAAGGTACTCGTGTAAAACAAATACTATATTATATTTCATTTATTGTTTTACCATACTAACATGATATAAAATACTTAACACACTACTTACCGTAATTTTGTGTAAGGTTAATATTTAGTTTTTACGGTTTTCCTGTGTGTTTCGTAACTTTATGTAGTAATATAATTGATGTATATGCGTGTAAAATTTATAACGTATTTTCTTATATTTTTTAAGCATGAATGTTTTTTAAGAACTTATAAATAAATATGAATAATAAAAAAATATATAATTTAATCTGTCTGTATTT